CTTCCTCCCTCCCTCCCTTCCTCCCTTATCCATCCATCCTTCATCCCCCATCCATCATCCATCCATCCCATCTCCATTATCCATCCATCAGCCACCATCCATTATCCATCCATCATTCATCATCCATCCACCCATCATCCATCCATCCATCCATCCATCATCCATCCATCCATCCATCCATCATCCATCCATCATCCATGCATCCATCATCCATCCATCCATCCATCCATCCATCATCCATCCATCATCCATCCACCATCCTCCACTGGTGCCTCCAGGGTGGTGACACAAGCCACCAGTCCCAGGAACCACCACGTCCTACCTTGGCGATGGTTGTAGGTCCAACCATCGAGACAGGGCTCCAGTGGTCCAAAAGCCACCACTGAGGTGCCATCATGAGGAACCCAGACCCTGAGCAGGTCCCACTGGCACTGACCATCCAGAGGAACTGGCACCGAGGGTGACTTTCTGCAGCAGGTTGTGAGGAGGGGCAGGGCCAGGGGGGCCACCGAGGACCCCACCTGCTCCAGAGGCTCCCCTCAGGCTCCTCACCCCACCGGCACCAAGGTGGGCTCCTTATGGCCTGGCCAGAGCTGGGTTGGGGCCAATGGTTGGGTCAATGGGTGGGTCAATGGTTGAGTCAATGGTTGAGTCAATGGTTGGGTCAATGGGGGGGGCAATGGGTGAGGCAATGGTGGTGAGTCAATGGTTGAGTCAATGGTTGGGTCAATGGTTGGGTCAATGGTTGAGTCAATGGTTGGGTCAATGGGTGACATCTAGGGTGGGGTTTTGGGGTGACTTCCAGAAGATCCAGGAGGCCAATGTGCAGGCAGGGACAGCACAAAGGTGGCTGGGCCTGACCCACCAAGCACCACCAAAGGGTGGCCAGGGCCTCATCCATGGGCAGAACTTCCCCCCCCCGCACGGGGACACCGAAGAACCACCCAAACCAGGGCAAACCTGGAGCAAATCATCCCTGAGTTTGTTCTTCTTCTGCAGCGGCACCTTGTGGAGGGGGAGAAGCAGCTTTTGGAGAGGACCCAACTTTCAGGTGGGTGCCTTGGAGGAGATGGGGAGGAGCTGCTGGTGCTGGCCATGGGGTGGCCTCCATTGGGTTAATGTTCAGCTGGGGCTGTGGGCAGGAGGTGCCGGAGGTGGCCCCGGCGCGGGTCAGCGCCTGGGCACCGGGTTAATCTTTGATGGGCTCAACCCAAGCAGGGCCTTGGTGGGGCCAAGGGACACATTGGAGATGGGAGCAAGGGCCAATGGGGGACAATAGGGGAAGGGGCACCATGGGGGTGGCTGGAGGAGAGGGGTAGCACTGGGGAGGTCCGAGACCTTCTCGAGGGGTTGGGGACCCTCTAATGGGACAAGAGTTGGGGGGTTTGGGGTTCTTGGGTGTTGTCTTGATGGAGGTGACCTCCACTGTGAGGTGGCGGTGGGCAACAGCTTGGTGGAGGTGGCCTCAGGGAGATGGTTCTTGGGCATTGTCCTGTTAGAGGTGACCTCAGGGACACGGCTCTTCATCACTGGCCAATTCAAGGGGGTCTCATGGAGACAGTTCTTCATCATTGGCTGATGGGACGTGACTTCAGGGCCCAGCTGATGAGAAGTTGTTGAAGGTGACCCCCAACAACAGGCACCATCTTCTTGGAGGTGACCTCAGGGACACACTTCTTGGGCATTGTCCCATTGGAGGTGACCTCAGAGGTGGTCACTGGGTGTCATCCAATTGGAGGTGACCTCAGAAACACCCCAAGTCGTTGTCCCCACCAGAGCTGATTTATTGCTCCCAGGTCGCCTCCGGCCCCAGCCGAAGCTGTGGGGCCCATGGCAGGGGTGCAGGGTGCTGTGTCCCACCCCCTCCATAGGCCTTCAGGGTTCCTTCTGGGGCGCCTTCTCCTGTGGCTCCAGTGGGATCTTCTCCTTGGGGTCGTCTGGACGCTTCCGCTTGGCCCTGGGGGAGGAGGCTCCATGAACACGACAGGGGCCAAGTCCAGTGTCTGCCCATCAGCAGCTCCTGGCACTGGGGCTTCTGCCAACTCACCCATCCAGTGACCCTCAACACACCCCTGTGTCCATCCTCCATCCATCCATCATCCATCCAACATGCATCCATCATCCATCCAACATGCATCCATCATCCATCCATCATCCATCATCCATCCATCATCCACCCATCCCTCCATCATCCACCCATCTCTCCTCCATCCCTCCTCCCTGCTCACCTGCTCTCCACCTCCTGGATGGTGTCAGGCAGGGGCATGTTGAGTGTCTCCGGAAGGAACGCGGCCACCACGGCCGCCACCACCGGGGCCACCCCATAGACCGCAGGGGGGAGGCGGGGGGAGGACTCATCCAGCATCTTCACCAGCGGTGCCACGATGCCACCGACACGGGCCATGGTGCTGCCGAAGCCCAGCCCCGTCTGCCTGCGGCCACCACGGCCAAGGACACCGCGTCACCATGGCACAGGGACACCAGGGTCACCCATGGGAGAGGGGGCAGGGCGCCAGGGTCACCCATGGGTGCTGGTACCTGATGGGGGTGGGGTAGAGCTCGGTGGTGTAGAGGAAGACGCAGTTGAAGGAGGCTGAGAGGCAGCCCTTGCCCAGCACTGCCAGCGCCGTGCGCAGCGTCTGCAGCTCTGCAGGACCTGGATATGGAGGGAGGATGGAGGATGGATGATGGATGGATGGATGATGGATGGATGATGGAGGGATGGATGGATGGATGGATGATGGATGATGGATGATGGATGGATGGATGATGGATGCATGGATGGATGGATGGATGGATGATGGATGGATGACGGATGGATGGATGACGGATGGATGGATGGATGCAGATGGTGCTTAATTCAATGGCTGGAGAAGCGAGCGATGGGTGAGGAGCAAACCGCAGTTATGTGACCCACAAGTGGGGACATCAGTGGCTGGACCAGGCCCTGCAGAAGGTCCCATCAGCCCCAGCACCCACCTGTGGGCACGAAGATGTTGGCGATGATGGCCAAGCCCGCCAGGAAGAGCGCGATCGCGAGGGACAGGCGCCGGCCCACGTAGCTCAGCGAGATAGTCACCACCACCTTGGCCGGGAAATCCACGGCGCCGAAGATCACCTGGATGAGGTAAATGCTGACCCCGAAGTTCTGCAGGTCCATGGCCAGCCCGTAGTAGGAGAAACTGATGGAGAACCTGGAGCAGAGCAGAGAGATGGATCTCAGGGTGGTGGCACCAACCTGCAGTGTCACTGTGGAGTGGGAGCTGAGGTGGGGGAGATGAGGGTGGTGGTGCCATTGGATGACTGGATTCACTGATTGTCCAGTTGTCCGTCCATCCATCCATCATCCATCCATCAT